CATATATAAAAACAATTAAATATTTAAAATATGCGGTTATTACTTGATAAAGACACTCTTAAAGAATAAATATCAACACTCAGAATTAAAAAAAATTTAATATAACAGAAGTTATTAAAGTTTGCGCGAAGGCATTTTTTATTAATAATTTAATATAATTCGAAAATTTCGAAAATCGATCAAAAAAAATCTTCAATAATGATTTTTACTATGTATCTTGCCATTAAACTGATTGTGCACACCCCAATACAAGATGCACAGTACTAGTACGCACGTTGTACAGTACATCAGCCAGAAGCTGCAAAATCAAGCACTTGAAGTTACACTAGCCCAAATTATTAACGCTTAACGTTAAATTTTAAGCAGGTGCCGATTTCAGACCCGATGCGTACATGTAAAGTCTCATTCATAATTTAAAAAATCATGTCTAAATCAAACAACTGGAAGGAAACATATGATAATGTTTTAAGTTTTTTTAATGTACCAGAGCTAAAACCAGAATTACGGCAGACGAAGATAGGAGATATAGAGGTATTCAATTGTATTAAAAGTTTATACTGTAATTAAATCAAAAATAAACAACACACAAAAGTGTATTTGGCTTCATGATGTTGCTAATATGCGAAAGAGATGATTTAAAATTTCACGAAATTACAAGTTTTTATATAATTACTTCGTGAAGAAACCTTTATTTTTGGTTATTGTTTTCAGTTGATATTTATTTAAACCAAATTATAATCTGAAATTTTCTATTCTTAATTAAATTTTTTTTTCTCAAAGATTTCTGGTTGTGATTTGTTCGTTGATCTTAACAAATATTTTTCAAATCTCGATATAAAACCTGAAACCCGAATCTTCCGAATTTATGCTGACGTAATTCAACTATCAAATATTCTAGAAATTCCACTTTTAAATGACGGTGGTGCTATTTTGATAGTAGCAAGGCGAATTGAAATTGAACCGAAATGCAAGATAATTGTTAATTACAAAAAATCTTTCCGAATAGTAATTTACTCCATAGAGATGACATCTGAACTTGAAATTATCGCAAATAATGATTCATATAAATTCGAAATCAAAGATTCCAAAAATGTTGGCAAACTACTTACTATATGCAATGGAAAAAGTCCGGAATATAAGGATATACGTATATTTGATAATATTATCCTTAAAAATAATGCATTCCTTAAAATCTTACAATACTCTTTAAATATCGCTATTGCCTTATTTTATGATAATCCTGGAATTACACGACCAATTCTCTCTTGGATTATAAGAATAACAAGACAATCTGAACTTGAAGAGGCAAAAGAATTAGCATAGCGGGCTTTCATTACGATTGGCCAATTTTTGTAGATCATCCCGTGATATCATAAAATTTTATTGGTTAATCAAAATTTTAACTTTACTAAA